CTTCATGGTCCCATCCTGCCTGGGTGAATTCTTCATCACACAGAGGCTGGCTCCCAGTCCAGCAGCAGAGCTGTCCTTTGGGAGTGGGCTTGCTTTACCTGCCATCTTATGTTATAGTGAGAAATGTAACTAATCAAAAGGACTGAATACTTATGTCCTCTGATCAGCTGCCATCATCCTGGAGATTTTCTATAGGGCTGCAACATTCAGAGTATAATGAGAGGTTGCTTGTTGAGCATGGAATCATGGGTGAGTTCGCTGTGATGGTTAGTTGGATGATCTTTGAAAGCTAATGTCACCAAGCTCCAGTGGTCTGACAGACCTGTCTCCACTTAAATTTATGGTGAAGGAAGACAGGTTTTGTTTTTTTGGTTTTTTATGGGCCAGTCACAGTATACTCACTCTGGACAGCACTAGAGAGAGAGATGCCCACGTGTTCTGCGGACTCCTCCATCATAATGGCCATGTGCACCACCTCCTCCTAATGGCCTGTTGGCTCAGCGAGAGCACACACTGACTGTAATGACCAAGGCCTGTAGTTCCCCTCCTCTACGGGGTCACTTTCTGCCTTTTCAGCTGCCTATGGTCAACTGGGATCCAGAAGCAGATGATCCTCCTCCTGACGTGTTCTCAGAAATTCAGTAATAGCCAAAAGCTCCATCACAATGCCTTGGTTATTCACCTCTCTTCATCTTGTCACATAGACATTTTATCATCTCACATCATCACAAGAAGGGTGGGCACAGTACAATCAGATTTTTGAGAGAGAAACCACATTCACGAAACTTTTATTACTGTCTGTTACTGTAATTATTCTATTTTACTATTAGTTATTGTTAATCTCTTCCTGTGCCTAACTTGTAAATTAAACTTTATCAAAGGCATGTATGTATAGGAAAAAAGCATAGGGTTCAGTACTATTCATAGTTTCAGGCATCCACTGGGGGTCTTGTAATGTATCCTCTGCAGATAAGGGGGGCTGCTGTATAAGTTTTCTTAATATAATCCGATTTAGTCCTCCCTTCTTGAGTTACATCCAAGTTACCTTGATTTGATTGTTGGCTATCTTAGTCAATGGCCTCCTGGTAGATCTTAGATAAGCCATTTGACTCTAGATTCTTCTAATTTTTTTTTCAAAGGGTAAGTTTAACTTTAATGTAAAACTTATAATTGATTTTGTCCCATAAGAAGCACTTTGATTTCTCTTAAAAAAGATGCTGTAATGTTAAAGTGACTATACTGTTACGGCCTGTGGACCTAGCACAGTGCTAAATAATTCATAAGTGTTTATCTTTCTTTATCCTCTCATGAGTATGTTTACATTTACAGATGAGGAAGCTGAGGCACACAGAAGTTGAATAACTTTCCCAGTTTCATACTCGTAGTATCAAAGCTACTAAGAAATTCAGTGCATTATTCCAAAGCTGGCACTTCTAATGCTTTATTCAGTGTTGTTATCTGGGGCTACTGCCCAGGAGTAAGATGTTCAGCATAGCAGAAATAGAGTACTGCTACTTCTAATAACACTGATAAATGCAGTTTCAGCTCCCAGTTTATACCAGGTACTTTACATAAATTTTTATGAATCCTTGTTGCATTCCTTTAATGTAGGTATCATTTTTAAATTTTTGCATATGAGATAATGAAGACTGAGGGAGTCAGATAACTTGTAGAAAATCTTATAGTGGATAACTGGATTCTTTGATTGCAAAACCAAAGCTCAAAGACATTGATGGATGGAAGTTTGTGGCACCTCTGGAGAGCAGCATGTTGTCCAGTATAGCTCAGGCATAGAGTGCATGGCCGGAGTGAAGGAGGCGGAGAGGCATGGTCAGGGAGATCAGCAGGGCAAAGGAGAATTTTTGAATATTTTTAAAGGACAAGTAGGTCCTTAACTATCAGATGGAAGGTTGGAAACAGAATGGTAGAAAAAGAGAGACTCTTGAGTGGGAGCGAGACAATAAAACTTGCAGTTTTCGAATAGACTGGAGTTATGTAATGAAAAAGAAAAAGTACAGTGGAGATAAAGGAATCCTACAGTTATTTAGGAGAAAACAGATGATTCATGGATCTTTCAGACAGGTGGTTTAGATGCGTAATTGTTCTCAGATGTGACAGTACCTTAAATCTCAAAGACTTAAAAAAAAGTTTCAGTGTGTGGTGTTTTAGATTCATAGCCTTGGAGAGGTGCTCTGTTATCTGTGGCACACTTTATATATGTGATAGCACTCGTGGGGATGGGTACAATTGGAGATTGGAGATCATTCTTGTCTTTTTAACTTTCTGGTGGGTGTATGCTTGGCAACAGCAAAGCCAGAAATGGTCTCTGTTCATTTGGCTTTCATTCAGAAACTATTTTACATCACAATAAATCACCAGTCTCTTTATCATCAGGTCCCTGGTGATCAAAGTATTAAATTACAGTACCTGATAAAATCATGAATATCCTTGTAGTTACTTTATGTACATCCCCTTCTCTTCAACAGTGAGCCTTTTAAAATTGGGTTCATTAGGAAAAGGAAGTCTTTATTCCTTAGTGTATAGATGGGTATACTTGAACAATGGCAAAAGGCAGTGTGCTTGGGGCCTAAAAGAAAAAGTATCCTCTGCTTTTCCTTCCTACTCTTTTTGCCTATTTTTAATGGAAGTCCAAGTGTAATTGAAGGTGCCTCTTGGGATTGAAAGCTACATCCGATCGAGCTAATAATATGGAGAACAGCTGGAGTAAGTTTAGGGATACAGGAGTAGGAGTGGTTTTCTCTCTCTCTTTGGTATCATCAAGCTTTCGGCTAAGTCATTTTATAGTCCAATCTACAGAATCATGGACATTAGATTTGGCAGACTTGGAGGGAATCTGGGCTAACATCCCACTGAGTCGTAATTTTTTCCTTCACCATCTTTCCCAGACAGGTGGGTGTGGAGCTTTTACTTAAGATCTTCCAGCAAGTTCTCTAGCCTGGAAACGTTAACACTCTAGGGGGCAAAGACTTCAGGGCTTTTACTTCCTGCTGTCTCCCTTTGTGCGGCACTCTGCCTTGGTTTCCCTACTCCTGTACAGTAGTTCAGTTGTTGGGAGGTGCCATGTGTTAACATTTCTCCAAGCCTTGGAATAAAAGATACCCAAAATTAAGCCTCATTTCTATCTCTTATTGTAAGACTTTGGGCAATCCCCTAACCCCTCTGGCTTCAGTTTTTGCATATGACAGTTACCTAACTAGGGAGTTTGTCAGTTGTGCTCTGAGACCTACTTGTGGAATTATGTAAAAGGATTAATCATAATGTCTATAAAGAATCTGACACATTGTAGCTAGGCACTTTACATGACCCCCCTTGGGCCCAATTCTAATCTTTTGCTCAGTATGTGGTATTTGATTCTTCATTCAAACCCCAGTGGTAATCTGTCCAGTAAAGAGTGAAATAGAGCTATTGCTTTATATTTACAGGGCATAGTGTGAACTCTTCTTAAGGACAGTAAGATAGGAGGTGGACAGTAGCAGAGGAAGTTTGGAACTGTGCACCAGCAGTAGTGTACCTGCTTTCCTAAACCTATGGCAGCACAAGGGTTCTGAAGAGCAAGATCATAGGTATCCAGAAGATGTGAAGAGAAAGGGCAGTGCAGGCTATGTCGGAATTTATTAGTATCAACTAAGACTTCTAGCTCAAAATAACTGGTGGGAAAGGGAAAACTTCAGTTCTACTATTGTTTGTTCTACATTAAGACAATCAGTTGGCATGATTCACATTAGACTCATTGGTTTTATTTTTCAACTTTATATAGAAACAATCTAAATAATTAATTTTTGTGAAACTGACTGTCTGCTGCAACTATTTATAATGCCTATTTTTAAACTACTCATTATGCATTGGTATAAGATTTGAAAGCCCAGGAGAGTGAGTTTGTCCTGTGCCTGATGTTCATGTGAGACTGGCAGTTTTGAGAGAAGGAAAACCTTCTTACCATCATCCTTTCTCATTTCAGAATATGTTTACTTCTGTGAGAGAAGCCACGCTAGATAGTCTCTTAGTAAGATTCTTAGACCTTCATTTTGGAAAATATGTTGTTGAGTTTCAGAGAGCCTCTAGATTACTATGACACTCTTTCTGAAAACCTGTTAGTGGAGATGTATAACTCCAGCAAAGTAGGCTAAGTAAATTCCAATGATAGCATTACTGTTTTCCCTTGAAATCTAAACTAGAGGGAAAACGTGAATGTTATGAAGTGGTCTGGCTTATCTGTTTGATAGGGGTGCAATAATAGCATCACAGCATTAGTGAAGTGGGGTGCTTTGGAGAAGCTTATAGCTTATAGCATAATCTACATGCTTTTATTTTACAGCCACAAGCACATTACCAAAGACCACATATGTTTTTCACAAACTGCTGTCCATATTATTTTGAAGCAGAAAACTTCATTTCTGCCTCATTTACACTTAATACCTTTTTGGTATTCCATCAGATATTGAAAAATTGTCAGCTAGATATGGTGGAGTTCTAATAATGATCCACTACACTTTGTTTCAATCATCTATGCTGGATAACCAAGAAAGTGTGAGCGTGTGCATGCACACACCTTAACTTGAAAACCTACTAACGTTATTTCCCACTTCTCCAAGTCTCTTTACTCCATCCTTTTGACTCTGCTTAGCCAAAAGGTTACAAACCCAAGGAAATAATTTCCCATCTACACTATGTAAATTCTAAGAGATAAGTTATTTACAAATAAGCAATTTAGAAGTGTGTAAGTAATAGTGAATTGAACTTTAAAAGGTCTCTCTTAAAGGGTAACTTGTCACAGTGAATTGTTTCCTGAAGGAGAAAATACTTGTAAATGTTTCTAAAAAAGACTACTAGAAATATTAATGGGAATTATATTCAAATACTAAAAAAAAATTATTTTGAAAATGATTTTTTATAACTACTTTGAATGTTATATCTTCTCTATCATGCCTTTACAAATAACCATTAATTGGATATTTGATATATGTCATTTATTTTTGTAGTTAAAACAGAGCCAATGAGCAGCAGTGAAGTAGTTTCAACAACAGCAGACGGGTCTTTAGACAATTTCTCAGGTTCAGGTAAGGAATAAATGTTAGATTTTTCACATTAACATAAAACATTATTTTTCCTGTTTATATAATACAGATATATATGCGTATGTATGTGTGTGCATGTGTATCTACAGATACTATGTAATATAGCTTTTCACAGATTCACGTATTTGCAATTCTAATGTGATTTCATTCAGTGTGATGAAGTGTGGCTGAAAATGGTGTTCTTTTTTTTTTAATTTTTTTTATTTTGTTATCTAATCTACAATTAAATGAAGGACATGTTTACTAGGCTAACGTTGGTGTTCTTTATGGAGATAAAAATCAAAGGGATTTTATTATTCTCCTTTCTCTTATTGAAATATTATGTTAATGATCCCTCCCTTTTTCTTGAATGAGTTTTCAGTTATGCAAACGTGGGTAGGCAAAATTTGGCGCCTGATAACCGCCAAGCACACTTACAAAGCCATCCTTCTAAGTGACTGTCATGTCAACTGCAGATCTAGGTTAAACAGACTTTGTACAGTAGCTTTAAATTGTCAGGTTAGTTTTAATCTCCTTCACATTAAAAAAATCTGCCTTCAACAAAAAGAATATCCAAGTTTCACATCTTTGATAATGAAATTACTGATAAGAAAGTGATAATGTAACTGTATGGATGTGATACATATATCTGCTAAATTACCCAGCTTGGACTATTTTAATTAAAAACTATATCAGAAGTAATGCTGAAATTTTTAAGCCTTTTTGTATTATCTGCTATGGTTATAAAGCTTCTCAATCGGAAATACTACACTTTCATAAATTTGTGATCAATTAAATCTAGTTCTCAGGATGATTTACTATTCAGTTATTAAATGCAATTAAAATCAATTACACATAGATATAAAATGAAGTGCAAACACATACTTTTATACTAATGATACCAGATGGAAGCAATAAGGCAAAAAACAAAGGGTGTTATACTCATTAGTTCTTTTGAAAAACACTAGAATTTGGTTCATGCTATGCAGTGTGCTTGGTGCTCTTATGGATTCCTAGATGTATGAGAATTGTCCTGGTTTGGGGTTCCATGGGTGAATAAATGACCAGAACGTCACAGTACAGTTTGATATTGCCAGAGGTTAAGCCCAGGGATTCCCAAAACACCCAGGCAGGACCCACCAGAGACCAGGTGGGGATGAAATGGTCAGGAAAGATTTCCTGGAGGAGATGCCTGCAATCAGCCTTTAAAAAAATGAGCAGGAATAAAGCGCATGTAGAGCTGGGGAGGGCGAGGCTGGACAGATGAAGTTTTCCATCAGAGGAGAGCAGGGCATGGAACTCAGAGGAACTGCCAGTGGTTCAGCAGTGTCGGTGTGGACGGTGAGAGCAGTGAGGGCAGTGTTGGTCGCAGGCCAAGTCTCCAGAGGCGTATGCGTTCTGTATGATGTTTGCATTTTATCCTGAGTGCAGTGGGAGGCACCCAGGAAGGGGGGTTGTGTGATCATATTCACATACAAATCATGACTGTGGTAGGTTAGCGGGAGAGGCTTGAGAACTAAAGTGGAGAAACTTTTTATAACTGAAGTTATAGACTTTTGCATTGGTCTGGGCAAGAAATACGCAAGACTTGAGATAAGGTGCTGGCAATGGGTGTGGAAAGGCAACGGACTGAGATGTGTTTTTGAAATAGAACTTATGGCTGTAAGAACCAGTGAGCGTGGGGAAGGAATAAGGCAGAGGGAAAAATTAAGAGTGGGGGAAGCTGAGAGGAGCATTACTGAGAAACAAAGGTGGTGGCCTCAGTTTTGGGCATGTTGAATGTGAGGTAAACCTGAAGATGTCAGAGCTCAGGAAAAATCTGGAGTGGAAATTTTGAAAGTGTGCAGGGAGTTAAAGCTATAGAGTACAGTAGTTTTGGAGGAAAAACTAGTATGTCAGACATGAACAGAGGATAAAATGAAAATACATGTGACTGGGGAGAAAGGATGCATGCTGAGTTAGAAGTAAACATGGAAGAATTTCAGGAAGCACTATCTGTATGATAGATGCATTTATAGCTACTAAAAGTAGTTTTTAAAGAACTTAATGACATGAGAAAATGCTAACTACATTAAGTGAAAAGCAAGCAATATGTTCAGTATATGTTGGCTCAGCGAGAGCACACACTGACTGTAATGACCAAGGCCTGTAGTTCCCCTCCTCTACGGGGTCACTTTCTGCCTTTTCAGCTGCCTATGGTCAACTGGGATCCAGAAGCAGATGATCCTCCTCCTGACGTGTTCTCAGAAATTCAGTAATAGCCAAAAGCTCCATCACAATGCCTTGGTTATTCACCTCACTTCATCTTGTCACATAGACATTTTATCATCTCACATCATCACAAGAAGGGTGGGCACAGTACAATCAGATTTTTGAGAGAGAAACCACATTCACGAAACTTTTATTACTGTCTGTTACTGTAATTATTCTATTTTACTATTAGTTATTGTTAATCTCTTCCTGTGCCTAACTTGTAAATTAAACTTTATCAAAGGCATGTATGTATAGGAAAAAAGCATAGGGTTCAGTACTATTCATAGTTTCAGGCATCCACTGGGGGTCTTGTAATGTATCCTCTGCAGATAAGGGGGGCTGCTGTATAAGTTTTCTTAATATAATCCGATTTAGTCCTCCCTTCTTGAGTTACATCCAAGTTACCTTGATTTGATTGTTGGCTATCTTAGTCAATGGCCTCCTGGTAGATCTTAGATAAGCCATTTGACTCTAGATTCTTCTAATTTTTTTTTCAAAGGGTAAGTTTAACTTTAATGTAAAACTTATAATTGATTTTGTCCCATAAGAAGCACTTTGATTTCTCTTAAAAAAGACGCTGTAATGTTAAAGTGACTATACTGTTACGGCCTGTGGACCTAGCACAGTGCTAAATAATTCATAAGTGTTTATCTTTCTTTATCCTCTCATGAGTATGTTTACATTTACAGATGAGGAAGCTGAGGCACACAGAAGTTGAATAACTTTCCCAGTTTCATACTCGTAGTAGCAAAGCTACTAAGAAATTCAGTGCATTATTCCAAAGCTGGCACTTCTAATGCTTTATTCAGTGTTGTTATCTGGGGCTACTGCCCAGGAGTAAGATGTTCAGCATAGCAGAAATAGAGTACTGCTACTTCTAATAACACTGATAAATGCAGTTTCAGCTCCCAATTTATACCAGGTACTTTACATAAATTTTTATGAATCCTTGTTGCATTCCTTTAATGTAGGTATCATTTTTAAATTTTTGCATATGAGATAATGAAGACTGAGGGAGTCAGATAACTTGTAGAAAATCTTATAGTGGATAACTGGATTCTTTGATTGCAAAACCAAAGCTCAAAGACATTGATGGATGGAAGTTTGTGGCACCTCTGGAGAGCAGCATGTTGTCCAGTATAGCTCAGGCATAGAGTGCATGGCCGGAGTGAAGGAGGCGGAGAGGCATGGTCAGGGAGATCAGCAGGGCAAAGGAGAATTTTTGAATATTTTTAAAGGACAAGTAGGTCCTTAACTATCAGATGGAAGGTTGGAAACAGAATGGTAGAAAAAGAGAGACTCTTGAGTGGGAGCGAGACAATAAAACTTGCAGTTTTCGAATAGACTGGAGTTATGTAATGAAATAGAAAAAGTACAGTGGAGATAAAGGAATCCTACAGTTATTTAGGAGAAAACAGATGATTCATGGATCTTTCAGACAGGTGGTTTAGATGCGTAATTGTTCTCAGATGTGACAGTACCTTAAATCTCAAAGACTTAAAAAAAAGTTTCAGTGTGTGGTGTTTTAGATTCATAGCCTTGGAGAGGTGCTCTGTTATCTGTGGCACACTTTATATATGTGATAGCACTCGTGGGGATGGGTACAATTGGAGATTGGAGATCATTCTTGTCTTTTTAACTTTCTGGTGGGTGTATGCTTGGCAACAGCAAAGCCAGAAATGGTCTCTGTTCATTTGGCTTTCATTCAGAAACTATTTTACATCACAATAAATCACCAGTCTCTTTATCATCAGGTCCCTGGTGATCAAAGTATTAAATTACAGTACCTGATAAAATCATGAATATCCTTGTAGTTACTTTATGTACATCCCCTTCTCTTCAACAGTGAGCCTTTTAAAATTGGGTTCATTAGGAAAAGGAAGTCTTTATTCCTTAGTGTATAGATGGGTATACTTGAACAATGGCAAAAGGCAGTGTGCTTGGGGCCTAAAAGAAAAAGTATCCTCTGCTTTTCCTTCCTACTCTTTTTGCCTATTTTTAATGGAAGTCCAAGTGTAATTGAAGGTGCCTCTTGGGATTGAAAGCTACATCCGATCGAGCTAATAATATGGAGAACAGCTGGAGTAAGTTTAGGGATACAGGAGTAGGAGTGGTTTTCTCTCTCTCTTTGGTATCATCAAGCTTTCGGCTAAGTCATTTTATAGTCCAATCTACAGAATCATGGACATTAGATTTGGCAGACTTGGAGGGAATCTGGGCTAACATCCCACTGAGTCGTAATTTTTTCCTTCACCATCTTTCCCAGACAGGTGGGTGTGGAGCTTTTACTTAAGATCTTCCAGCAAGTTCTCTAGCCTGGAAACGTTAACACTCTAGGGGGGCAAAGACTTCAGGGCTTTTACTTCCTGCTGTCTCCCTTTGTGCGGCACTCTGCCTTGGTTTCCCTACTCCTGTACAGTAGTTCAGTTGTTGGGAGGTGCCATGTGTTAACATTTCTCCAAGCCTTGGAATAAAAGATACCCAAAATTAAGCCTCATTTCTATCTCTTATTGTAAGACTTTGGGCAATCCCCTAACCCCTCTGGCTTCAGTTTTTGCATATGACAGTTACCTAACTAGGGAGTTTGTCAGTTGTGCTCTGAGACCTACTTGTGGAATTATGTAAAAGGATTAATCATAATGTCTATAAAGAATCTGACACATTGTAGCTAGGCACTTTACATGACCCCCCTTGGGCCCAATTCTAATCTTTTGCTCAGTATGTGGTATTTGATTCTTCATTCAAACCCC